CTTCAGGGTGATGTGATGCCCACAGTCATGGGACTGCGTCCTCCAAATATGGCAGAACTGATCTGTCATAGGCCCTTGGTTCATTTTAACCACCACAGCCCAGAGTTTACTGTCTGGGATGGAAGTCTGATCATAGTTCCTTTCAACCCAGGCTCTATGGATGCTGTTTCTCATGGCCTTTTTTATGTGGCAGAATTTTTATTGTGGATTCTGGTTTTCCTTCATGTTTTTCTCAGACAGATGGAGCAGTGACCAGCTTCTTGCTGATTGTGACTTGTAACATTGAGCTTGGCTTGGAAGTAATCAGCCCATTTTTCCTCTTTCAGTTATAAACATTTAGAGCATTTAGAAATCCTCTTAAGTGGACTGATGGAGTTTGCAGCTTCTACCAGAGTGTTTCAGATTAGTGGCAGATGCCCAAAGCTTTTCTTGTGGCATTTGGCAGTTTCAGGAAAGTGCTATAACTTTCATCATTTACTTTTGCCAAATGGCTGAAATGGTTCTAGTTGCCAGGAAGATAAAAATCAGCAGTCTGGAATATTCTTTGATCTGTGTTTTTTCTGGATATGGAATGGAACAAATGGAGCATTATCCACTGTGCTTGAGAGATTCCTGCCTGTTGGTTTCATTTGCTATGTGGGTTTGTTTTCTTTCCTCACTGTGTGTTTCAAAATTAAATTGCTGGGGTTTTTTATTCAGTCTGCAGACAAGACATCCTTCATTCTGTTCTCACTGCTGTTCAGAATGAATGTAAATTAAATACAAATTAGGATATATGTGTGTATCTATTTTTGTATGTAAATAGAGATACTCTTCCTTCTGGGGAGTAATAATTTTGTCATTCAAATATTCTTTAATAATATTCAACATATTCTTTTCAAATCTTGTCTAGTTCTAATTTTTTTTTTAAGGATTCCTCAGTGGGATTTTTAAAAGCTGGTCATAGTAAAATTTTATTTCCCTTATTTGCAATATTTTTTTCTTACATCTGTTTATTGTTTTCCCTAAAATGACTAGTGGATGCATCATGCTTGCTATTCTCCATGTGTTAGCAATTTTGTCCATAGTTGTGGATCCAAGATGGGACAGAGACAAGAGTGGTGGGGACTTTTGTTGTTTAGGGGGTCTTTTTTGTGTTGTGAGTTTTTTTCCCCCCTCTAGCTTTAATGTATGGATCTGATAAATGAGACAACCTGCCCTTTTTGTCTTCATTTACATTAGAATTTGCCTTAATATATTTCAAGAAAAAATAAAAACCCTATTAATTATAGCAATTGGCTTGAAACTGACCCAGTAGTTGTCTGATTTTGTTTTTATTTTCTGAGGGAAGAAAAATGAGGCAAATAACTCTTCTATTTTTGTGATTTATCTACAAATTAAATGTTTGGTTTTTAGAAAACATCATCAGTTCAAGGAATGTGCTGCCAGTTAATTAAAGAAATAAGGCTGTACTTTTTCCTAATTTATTAATTCCCTCTTCTGTCCAAAACAAAGCAGGTAGAGTAGGCAGAATCAGTGACACGGGTAAGACAACAGCTTGGGATTCTTTTCCTTCATATAATACTGCCAAAGGCACACCTTCAGGGCTTCCTCTGGGTTGGGGCACCCTATGTTTTATTTTTCTCATTGGTGAAGTATTGTAAACAAACAGAGTACTAATATCTCATGAAGAGCTCCTTTGGATTATGTCTGATGCTGTGCTGGTAGATTTGTAATCAATGTCGTTTTGTTTATCATTGGTACCCTGGATGATGGCTCAGAAGTGTGAGGAGGCAGTGGCTCCTAGCAGCACATGCTGACACTGCAGGAGAGATCACGTGTGGGGTAGGAACAGAAGGGGAAAGCTGTACAGGGGAAAGGAGGGAAGCTTGATTCATTCTGGATCTATCACTTCATGGGATCAGTCAGGTTGGCAAAGACCTCTGAGATCATCAAGTCCAATCCAACACCCCTTTGTCAACCAGGCCACAGCACTGAGTGCCACATCCAGTCTTCCCTTAAACACCTCCAGGGAAGTGACTCCACCACCCCCCTGGGCAGCCCATTCCAATGTCTCACCAACCTTTCTGGAAGAAATTCTTCCTGACGTCCAACTTAAACTTCCCTTGGTGCAGCTTGGAACTATTTCCTCTTATCCTGTCACTGGCTGTGTAGGACAAGAGTCTGGCCTCCATATAGCTACAGCCTCCTTTCAGGGGATTGTAGAGTGATAGTGGCCCCCAAGCCTTCTTTTCTCCAGGCTAAACACCCCCAGTTTCCTCAGCACTTCCCATAAAACTGGTCCTCCAGACCATTCACCAGCTGTGTTGCCCTTCCCTAGACTGACTCCAGCACCATGTTCTTCCTGAGCTGAAGGGCCAAGAACTGGACTATCACTAAACTCTTTAAACTCTGGCATGATCTACCTTGAAATTTTGGTCCTCTGAGCTGTTAGAACTTGTCTTCATCTTAGTAGGATTTGAGGATACCCTGGGATGAAGGGCATGGAGGCACCACCTTACACCTGCCCTTAGACTGAGTCACAATGGCTGCTTTTGACTTGGTGATAAGAGGATTTTTAAAAAATGCTAATTTCTTCCAAAAGCATTCCTTTTGATCCTTTTTCTTGTGGTAAGGTAATGCAATAAGCATCTGCCACTGCATTCTATAGCACCTAACTCTTGTCATAAGTACCTTGCTTAAGTCTGTGATGTTATATGGATTCTGTTACATTCTGTTTGTTTATGGATGTTTTTGCCATGGCATATGGTTGCAAACTTACACTGACCTATGCAAGTTTAACATCACCCCTGTTTTAAATGGTGGAAGAGTGTAGGCTCACCCAGCCTGTAGTGCGTGCTCTACCTGGCTCATTTTCTGCCCTGGTTCACGACAGAGACAAGGCTGGGTCCACAGGTTAATGGTTGTTCTCAGTGGGTCATCTTTACCTCTTCACTTTGACTCATGCTTCCTTTATTTTCTGGGACAAATTTGAATTAATACCTTTTTGAACTGAATAAATTCAAAAGACCTTTTCTTTCCCCAGTGTTCTCTGAAAGTTCAGGCAGACTGCTCTCTCTCAGTTGCACTCACATCCTGGTGGAGGTATTTTTTCATACCAGCATAGCAGCTGGAGTGGCATGTTTTAAAAGCAAAGGACAGCAGAAGGTAATTCAGCAGAGGAGGTTTGGGTCTCTTTGTTTTTGTGACCATTCATCACCCCAGGTCAAACCTCAGAATAGACTGAGGCCAGGGTAGAGAAGATAGATGGAATTTTTTTGTTAGTACCTTACTAAAGTTAAGATTGGCTTGAGAGCTCTAACTTGTATTTTTATGGTTTAAAGCATGTTTTAATGTTTCATATTTCTGCTTTCGCTCTTCTTTAAAAAATGAAAAATGCAAAAGCAATTCCTAGTGCTGGTAAAAGCACGTATAGGTCATGTTAAAGATTCCAGATATAAGGTAATGTAATTCCAGAAGTGACTAGAACTAACGTGTATGTGCACGTTGCTTATGTGTGCACTCTTTATGCCAATTGCCTTAATCCTGTTCTTTGCTAACGGCTTGCTCAGCAACAAGGAGGAAAATCAAACAACTCTGAAATATAGATTGAAAAGATGCATTGTGTTACAGGGTAATGCAGTAGCTTTAAAAATCATTAGCATACCCCAAAAGACAAACATAAAAAATTTCACCTGCGTGGAATCGAACAAAGGCTCAAAGTAGCAAATGTAAGTGTCTAATTCTGATAGCAAAGGCAATTGTACCTCATATTTTAGAGTTCAGGTGTCTGAGAGATGGTGAGCACTTCATGGTAGGATGCAGGAATTTGGGTTCTCTAGGAATTTTGGGGGAGGTGCTGAGAAGGAGAGTGTGTGAGGAAATAAGCCAAAAAAGTGAGGAGACAGTAGGTAAGAAGCTGAATTGGAGGAGAAAGTAGACCAAGGGTTTAAACAGGCAGATATTGCCAGATTTTGTCAGGCACAGTACTCTGTGTTTGTGGAGACAGAAGTTTAGAGAGGTGGGAAAAATATAAACTTGCCAAAGTTAAAGGCACTCAACGAGTCATCTGCTGTGCGTTACTGGGAATTTAAAGTGATACTTTGCCCAAGAAAAGGTCTTCCCAAGAGGAGACAGGGAAAGAAGTATCTCTTCATGGTTAAACAATTAAAAAATTATTGGAAGATTTACTTGAGAAATAGCGCAACTTATTTTGCTTTCTACTTGTCATGCCTCTGCCCGTGAATTTATGTTGGCTGGGCTTGAAAGTATTGTTTAGGCGCTGTTCTGGTTTTATCCTTTTAACCAAATACCATGCAGAGGTTCTGCTGCTGTCAAGAGGTATCAGAAAGACCCTCCAAGCACTGCTCAGTGTGTAGATCTTCAGCAGCTCCCCGAAGTCTCCTTACCCTCCTCTGAGGCTGTACAGCTGCTTAGGAGGAGTATTCGAAAGGAATATTTTAAATTTACTCTCTTTCTTTTTATGGATATAGAGCTTGGAACAGTGCAGAGCTGTCTTCTGAAAATCCCTTAGTTCTCTTAATACAGCAACTTTTAGGGCCTAAAAATTTGCTATCTTTTCCCTTTTACTTCCCTCTTAGATTTTCCATCTTCCTACTCTTCGTATCTTGCCTCTCTTCCATGTGTTAAAACCTTAGTATGTCATACCCATGGGCTTTGCTAAATTTGCCCTTAGGTGAAATGAGGTTTTTAACTTCCACCAAGCCTGTAGAAAACCTACAAACCAGTGACAAGGGAGGAGATTTTAGGAGGAGTAGGGGGAAGCAAGTGAGAGAAGGTTCTTCTGAGCTTTGGTACATGCAGTTGTTGTGTTTCAAAACTGCCCCTTTGTAGAAAAGGTGCAGAAGTTTGTTTGACCCTTGAAGCATCTTTGAGCATAGTTTGATGTGTCTGCTGTCTGTACCTGCTCTAGCATTTCTCAGGTTATGGCTTCTTCCTGTTACTAGCTGTTCCAGGATTATGTATTACACTAAGTCTCACTTCTTTCCTTCTCTTAACAGCTGCAAATCAAAAAGAGCCTTTGACTCCTAATTTTAAAGTGAAAGAGGAACCTAAGGATGAAGAAGCTGGAAGTTCAGCCGTGTCTCAGCCCAGCTACGTGTTCAGCCAAGAGCCTGAAGCCTCAGCTCCAAATGTCCCTGAAGAGAAACTCAAGCCACAAGAAGCACAGGCAAATGTGATGAGGCAGGACATGTCAGTCAAGGCAGCATCTGAGCTCCTCATGAAGCTCTCAGGTAGATATTTCATTTAATAATATTGAATTTTAGAAATTTTTTTGTGTGTGTGCTAGCAGGGTTACCTTGCAAGAAGGTAGGTTCAGCTTTAGTAGCAAGCCAAGGAACAATTGAAAAGGCCTGTCTACAAATGTATGTGAAATATCTGTTTGGTCTCTAGCCACACTATTTAATTATCTCTGCTCTGATTTTCAAATTAATGACTATGGAATAAGTCAAAAGAAATGATGCCTTAAAGCTTTTAGGTGCTATAATTTTTTAAATGTACAAAACCATGTTAATACAAATTTATTCACAGGTGTCTCTTCATTTAACATCATAAGAACATTTCTGTACTTTGCTGTACCTGACATAGCTTTATCAAGTATGACTTTTAAAGCTTTTAGTTTTTTATGGCAATACATTGCACTCAAAATTATAAGATACACTGCTAAAAAAATTGTGTAAACTGAGCCAGCTTTCTGCATTTAGCAAGACCACTTGAACTTGTTTACATTGCCTCAGTGATAAGTTCTTCTGCCAGACAAGCAGGTAGTGTACACACATAGGCAATGTTAAAGCTGGAGGGAGTCAAATAAAATGTATGTGCTGCTAATTATGATTTGTCTACCTTTCAGAATCAAGGTTTTAGAGAAAGTAAAAGGGTTGAATTCTTCCCACTGGGAGCAGGTTAAGTGAATGATGAAAAGGCTTTGAACTTCTAACAGACCAATTTTTAGGACCAAGACATGAAAGTTGGTCTGGCAGGCTGGTCTTTGTGCTTCTGGATCTGACAGATTTTAAGTCTTCTTCAAAACTGGGCAAGACTTATTTTTTTAATTGTGCCAAAGTCACGCAACAAGTGTTGATGGGAATGCTTACAAGTTTAGTCCTCTGAGATCCCTTCACACCTACCTGAAATCAGTTGTCTTGATTGGACACTCAGCTATGAATTTGAGCTCAAACTTGGAAGACTTGAGCTGATTAGGATCTCCCCATAAAACCTGTAATTAATTCACTCCTGTTCATGCCCTCCACATTTTAATTTTCAGAAGAATTTGAATCAAGCCTTCCATGTTAATGGTGCAAAAAGTGTTTCCCAAGTACAAAAGCTGACCAGAGCACCAGTTTCCAGATTTTTTTTTTCTCAGACTCCCAAATACAAAACATTTGTTTTTTAGTGTAATTCTCAGTTGCTGCTGGTAACTGGTTTGAGTGAGGTGTTTTGGTAAGAAAATTTTGCAGCCTAATGAATGCTAAGCTGAGTATTTTTCTTGGTGCATATAAATTTATGTAACTATTTTTATAAAGAAAGAGCTCCGTAATTTAATGTTTTGTGAAGTACTTCAGAGACACGAGGGCTCTGGATTGTCAGTCGAGTTCAGCACTGGCAGGCTGTGTTTAAATAGTTCTATTGCTGCCTATTATGTTGGAATATTTGTGCCTTAAATACCTGTTTATATGAGAGAAATCCAGTGTGTATTAAATCTTGGTCAAGTCTTCAGCTTGTGTTGGGATCTCCCAGGCTTGAAAGGCTGTAGTGAGAAATCCATCAATGTAACCTTTCTCTTACAAGCTCTTAGGGACTGAGCAGTTTTTGCTGACAGTGGTCTTTTTGGCTAATCCATAGATGAGGATGTGAAGAGTGGCTCTGATTTATGGAGTCGGTGTTGCTGCCGTCGGTATTCCCGCATCAGCCACGGGGTGGGGGTACACCCAGTTTGTCACAGACAGTTTTCAACCTGCACTTCCCTGGATTACTATCTAAGGAAAACACTGAGATATAGTTTAATGTAGGACAAAATCTTAAGATGATTAGCCTCTTTGGTGGTTTATTTTGGGTTTTTTTGAATCTTTACCCTATCTGGTAGAATACTCCCATATGACTGTTGACCTCACAGCCTACTGGAAGCAATTTTGCAGCCTGGTTTGGTGACTTAGAACTTACTTAATGAAGCCACTTCGTAGAATCATAGAAGGTGATGCCTTAAGTTTTAGCTTTCATACTATCCAAATTCTGTAGTGCCTTAGTATATAACTATGAACTTCATATAAGGGGTTAGCAAGTTCTCCTCACAGTTTAGTTTGACAAAACAATCCTTTTCCAGCCTGAGAACCAAGGGCACCATTGCAGCTTCGGTGCAGCCAAAGTGCTGCTATCTTGCAGCCCGAAAAGTATAAGCAACAGAAAATTGAGGAGAGCAGTCTGGGAGGATGGGACTTCATAACCTGCAGCTGTATTTGAACAATTAACCCCAATATGTAAATGGACCAAAACTTATAAAAGCATGAAAACGTGTGACCCGTTGTCCATCTTGAGTGTAGCCTCGGCCAGGCTCTTGTGCTGTTCAAAGTGTATCCTTTCTAATAAATACTTTATTCCTTTAACACTGTCTAGACTCAATTCTAGGTAACCTCTCAAGGCATCAAGGGACCTTAAAGATGACAAAATCATTTAGGCTGGAAAAGACCACCAAGGTCATTCACTCCAGCCATTGACTGATCACCACCTTGTCCTGGACCACAGCACTGAGTGCCACATCCAGTCATTTCTTGAACGCCTCCAGCGATGGTGGCTTCACCATCTCCCCGGGCAGCTCGTTCCAATGCTTGGCAACCCTTCCTGTGAAACAATTCTTCCTGATGTCCAGCCTGAACCTCCCCTGGAGCAGCTTGAGGCCATTTCCTCTTGTCCTGTTGCTGGTTGCCTGGAAGAAGAGACTTCCCCAGCTACAACCTCCTTTCAGGGAGCTGTAGAGAGCAATCATCTGGTTCCAACCCCCTGCCATGGACAGGAACATCTTCCACTAGAAGATATTGCTCAGAGCCTCATCCAATGTGGCCTTGAACACCTGTAGGGATGAGGCATTGACATTTCTTCCTGAGCCACCTCTTGAGATTAAAAGGAAAACAAGAACAAGCTTCCTTCTTTTTCATGGTACTGGAAAGAAAAAAGAATAGAACGAGTCTGTCTTGATGCTTTACTCTCTGTGGGAAATCCTCTGTCAAGTGCCCTTGTTAGATTTGATATATTTTATAATTGGGTTTAAGTCAAGTCCCTTCAGATTCTCTACATGCTTGGTAAGGACTGAATGGATTTGTTCTTGCTTTGTTCTTTTCGCTTTCTTCTGCATAATACTAATCACCAAAACCTGCATCACATACAAATTCAGGAAGGAATTTCCAACATAAGTGTTGTGCTTCCTGCATTCCTGACGTACACGCTGCTGCCATCCTCTGAGCGTGAGTACTGCTGATTGTTTCAGCCTCATGGGTGGGAGCCACCTGGGATTTGGGCATAGACCTTGCTATTTCCTTCCATGCAAGGAATAAACTGGTTTCTAGTTTTCACTGGGAAATCTTTTCCCAAACAGAGGTGCTGTGTTGCCAGTTCTTAGATGTACAAGTGGAAGTTCCACCTCTGGAGCCTGGTTTGGTCTGGTGCATACTGGGGTAGGTTTACTCCAAATCACCAGCCCTTTGTCAGCCCCCATTTCTCAGCTGCTCAGAAATTACTCTAGAGCTAGGAAAAGTCAGAAGAATAAACATCTTTTCCTGTAGTAGAACGTTAAAAGAACATTTGTTAGCTGCCATTGTAGAAGCAGGTGGAAAGAAACAAGAGAAAATCATGCACAGCTATTTTCGTTCTACAAGACAAGACTCTTTCAAGCTGAAGGGCTCCTTGGACACCTGCTTCTAGCAACATGACCAAAGTTTGGGATCAAGCCCTTGCTCCACACATTACTGTGGTGGAATTTGACCTTTTACACCAGTTCTTTCTCTTCCATGTTCCACTGGGATTCAGGTCTCCTACCTCACACTTCACAGACTTGATACCTGCTCACACCTTTTCCAAAGGATTATCCAGGCTCAGAGGGCTCATGTCCCTTGGGCATGTCTGCACAGATCCCACTTCCATCCAGACAGCCAGGACAAAACTCCCTAACAATCAAGCTGCTATTTCAGAATAAATCAAACACCCATTTGAAAGAAATGGTGTTTGGAAGTTAACAGGCAAAGTCTGAGCAGATTTTCAACCTCCATTGTACAGAAGAAAATAAAATTACCACTGTGATATGTATGAGTGCACAAAGGTGAGCTGGGAATTCTGTCCATGGCTGAGTCTTGACAGAGACTAGGTCCAGTGGTAAGCAAACAGATTTGAGGAGATAGCGGAATGGGGCAAATTGCTCTCATCTCTGTTTGGGAGGTTGTCATCGCTGCAAAATTTTAAATTCCCATAAAATATTGTACAAAATCAGTTAGAAGAAATTGAAGTAATGTGTTTCAAATACACCCCTTTTTTTTACTTTTTTACCAGTTCTCTTTCATGGAAAAGTTAATTAAACAGTTTGAGCAATAAATTAAGTGGCACCTTCAATGATTCCTGGTCAGTTTTATACACTTAGTCTTGTAAATTGAAAAGTACATTTCAGAGGAGATTGTTGACTGAGACTAGGTCCAGTGGTAAGCAAACAGATTTGAGGAGATAGCAGAATGGGGCAAATTGCTCTCATCTCTGTTTGGGAGGTTGTCATCGCTGCAAAATTTTAAATTCCCATAAAATATTGTACAAAATCAGTTAGAAGAAATTGAAGTAATGTGTTTCAAATACACCCGTTTTTTTTACTTTTTTACCAGTTCCCTTTCATGGAAAAGTTAATTAAACAGTTTGAGCAATAAATTAAGTGGCACCTTCAATGATTCCTGGTCAGTTTTATACACTTAGTCTTGTAAATTGAAAAGTACATTTCAGAGGAGACTGAAATTAAAAATAAATATTTGCTTTTACATGCCATTGTTGGAGCTGAAAATCTCATTTTCTGCTGAAATAGTCATGCTGCTGATATGTTTGGGGCATGTATTAGCTTTTAGAAGGATACAGTGTTTTGTCTTCTTGTCCAGAAATGAGTGAATAGGTGGAAGAGTATAAAATCTATCCCAGGTTGTAGCACTTTTTAAGTAATTTTGCCCAGGGACATTAGTATGTCCCTATCTTTCCCAGAAATGTTGTCTGAATC